GATGTGATGCAGGGGCAATGCAAGGCGATGCAGGGCAGTGCGAGGTGATGTAGGGCAATGCAAGGTGATGCAGGGCAATATAAGGCGATACAGGGCAGTGTGATGCAGGGCGATGCGAGGTGATGCAGAGCGATGTGATGCAGGGCAATGCAAGGTGATGCAATGCAGGGCGATGCGAGGTGATGCAGGGTGATGTGATGCAGGGTGATGCAGGTTGATGCAGGGCAATTCAAGGCAATGCAGGGCAGTGCAAATGATGCAGGGCAAGGCGATGCAGGGCAGTGCGAGGTGATGTAGGGCAATGCAAGGTGATGCAGGGCAATATAAGGTGATACAGGGCAGTGTGATGCAGGGCGATGTGAGGCGATGCAGAGCGATGTGATGCAGGGCAATGCACGGTGATGCAATGCAGGGCGATGCGAGGTGATGCAGGGTGATGCGATGCAGGTTGATGCAGGGCGATTCAAGGCGATGTAGGGCAGTGCAAATGATGCAGGGCAAGGCGATGCAGGGCGACGCGAGGCGATGCAGCAGGGGTGCAGCTCTGCCCCGGCGGTGACGGCGCTGCCCGTCGGCCCGGCGCGGTGCCGATGATGCTTCATTTGAATTCTCGCCTCTCTCTCTTCGCAGATAACGAGCCCGCGCCATGCAGTCCTTTCGAGAAAGGTGTGGTTTCCATGGCAACCAGCAGAGCTACCAGCCGACTTCACAAGATACATCACGCCTGGAGAATTACAGGCATCAAAGTCAGGCAGGGCCGAACTGCGAGCGGCAGAGGCTGGTGGCGAAGGAGTACTACAGTCAGCAGCAACTGCCGTACTCGGGCTACGAGAACAGCGCCGTGGAGAAATACCACCGGGGGGGAAACAAGCAGTTAGCAGGGCAGCAGCTGCAAGGCAGGCCGGCCTTTTCCAACTACGCCGTGCAGGAGAACAGCCCCTACCCTGCCCGCTATTCGGGGGACGAGAGCCTGCAGGCGTGGGGTGGCCAACCGCAGGCGCTGCCCGGCGGCGTGGCCAAGTATGAGGACAGCCTGATGAAGAAGACGGCGGCGGCGCTGGCGGGCGGGCGGCCGTACCATGAGCCAGCAGCCACCTCGCTGCCCTTCCGGACTCACTTCCAGCAGCAGCAGCAGCAGCAGCAGCAGCAGCAGCCGCCCGCGCTCCCCTACCCCAAGCTGCAGCGGCAGAAGCTGCCCAACGACGTCTCCTCGCCCATGCCCTTCTCGCAGAGCCCGCACTTCGGGCAGCACTCCCAGTCCTTCCCTGCTTCCTCCACCTACTCCTCGGTGCCGGGGGGCAGCCAGCCCGCACACTCCTATAAGAGCTGCACGGCTCCATCGGGGCAGCCACCGCTGGAGCGGCCCCTGAGCAGCGCCGCCAGCCTGGCCCCTGGTCCCCGTGTGCCCAACCTGCACGGTTACCAGCCCAACCGCATCGCCTACGAGCAGCCACCGCAGCCACCGCCGCAGCCGCCGCAGCCACCGCCGCAGCCACCGCAGCCTCCGCCGCAGCCGCCGCAGCCCTTGCAGGGGCGGCACCATGCCCCGGAGACCCTCCACTACCAAAACCTGGCCAAGTACCAACATTACAACCAGCCCGGCCAGACCTATTGCCAGGGCGATGCGCCACCGGTCCGGACGCCGGAGCAGTACTACCAGACCTTCAGCCCCAGTGCCAGCCATTCACCGGCTCGCTCCGTCGGCAGGTCCCCGTCCTACAGCTCCACTCCTTCCCCGCTGATGCCCAACCTGGAGAACTTCCAGTACAGCCAGCAGCCGCTGAGCACCGGCGCCTTCCCGGCCGGCATCGCCGACCACAGCCACTTCATGCCGCTGCTGAACCCTTCTCCCACCGACGGGACGAGCCCCGATGCTCAATCTGGCAACTGTAAGAACATGCAGAAGGAGAAGCTGCCCGAAAACCTGCTGTCGGACCTGAGCCTGCAGAGCCTGACGGCGCTCACCTCCCAAGTGGAGAACATCTCCAACACCGTCCAGCAGCTGCTGCTCTCCAAAGCAACCGTGCCACAGAAAAAGGGCATCAAGACGCCGGCGAGGACCCCGGAGCAGCTCAAGGGGCAGCACTGCAGTCCTGAGAGCAGCACTTACTCAGCGGAGCAGGTGGGGACCCCACTGTCCGACCCGCTGAGCACCCCTCAGTCCGTCCACGCTGAGGCCCAGGACGCTGACTATCTCAGCGGGTCGGAGGATCAGTTGGAGAGGAGCTTTCTGTACTGCAACCAGAACCGCAGCCCTGCCCGCGTCAACAGCAACTCCAAGGCGAAGCCCGAGTCCGTGTCCACGTGCTCCGTGACCTCCCCGGATGACATGTCCACCAAATCCGACGATTCCTTCCAGAGCATCCACGCCAGCCTGCCCCTGGAGTCCTTCACCAAGTACGTGACCAACGAACGGGACTGTCCCCGGCTGCTCCTCAGCGCCCTGTCCCAGGAGGAGCTGGCTTCCGAGATCATCGTCCTGCAGGATGCCATCAACGAGAAGGCGGATAAAGCCTGGGCCAACTTGCCCATGCTCAACAAGGAGGCCACCAAGTCCCCCTTCCAGATGGAGAACCACCGGCCCTGCCTGGACTCCATGGTGAAGGGCGCCTGGCCCAGCCAGGGTGACTCCAGCACGCTCACCGAGCCCCTTAAGATGGACAAGGCTTCAGGAGCCAACGCGGGGAAGGAGTTCAGTGAGGAGGTGTACGAGGGCCCGCAGGTAGAGTTCACAGCCGCCGAAACCAAGGACTCATTGAAGGATGCTGCTCCACTCGCTTTCAACTCCAAACCCAACATCCCTGCGGCGACGTCGAGCACGGGAGCCCCCGGTTATAGCTGCTACTCCAACACCACCGCCAACTCGGTGGGCTCTGAGGGCACCATGGAGAACTTCGAGTGGCCAGAGGAGAGCCTGGGCGATGCGTGCCTGCGGTGGAAGGAGCTGCAAGCCACAGAGCTCCCCAAGGCCTTGTTCCCCAATAAACTGGTGGGGTCCTGCAAGGAGAAAAAGAATGCCTGTGGCTTGGATCTGTGTGATGGAGAGCAGCCGGCCAAGAGCGAGCCGGACGGGGATTACGGTCAGCAGGAGGAGGAGGAGGAGACGCTGACCTACGATGAAGCGGCGAAGGCAGACAGCGAGAGGTGGCTGCAGGACACCCGGCACTGCTGCTCGGCCGGGGACTTCAGTGAGATCCCCATCATCTCCTCGCCGGAGCTGAAGGAGTCGGACCTGGAGGCAGAGGAGTACTCGTCGCTGTGCGAGCTGGCCGGCTCGGAGCAGAAGTCGGTGCCATACGATGCCTCGCCACCCAAGCCCCCTGAGATGCCTGCGGTGCTGTCCTCCAGCGAGGTGCCCGTGTCCGCCGAGGAGACCGTGAGCACGGTGGAGAAGGAGAGCTCGTCTCCCTCTGCGCGTCTCTCGGGTCAGTCCGTCATCCTGCTGGGCCCCGCTGTGGGCACAGAGACCAAGGTGAAGAGCTGGTTCAAGTCCTCCCTGCCGCACATCCAGCCTGAAGAGGAGAGCGGCGCCGGGGACGCATCCCACCCGGAGGCGGCTGATGCTGAATCCACCCCGTCGGTCGCAGTGAAGCAGCAGCTCACCCCTGAGAACGCATTGGGGAAGGCAGAGCCCATCTCACGGGGCAAAAGCCTCCGCAACAAGAGGGTCCATTGCCGGCTGCCGGAGGCGGACAGCGCCGGCAGCGCCGTGCTGAGCCCCTTCGATGATGGGCCGGCAACCGGTGGCGTGGCCAGCGCTTGCCTCGGACCAGACAGCCAAGCAGAGGTACCAAGCAAGAGCACCCACAGCCAGACCCCCCGGTTCCCAGCCGAGGGCTTGCCGGCACGCATGTGCACCCGGTCCTTCACCGCCCTCGCCGAGCCCCGCGCCCCAGCCCCGTTGGAAGGGCTGAAAGCCCCCACGCACCAGGAGAAGCTGGGCAAGAAGCCGGCTTGCGGCGCGAAGCAGCGGGTGGCCTTCAAAGCCAGGAAGCGCAGCAGCCGGCCGGCCCCCAAAGTGGTCCAGGGCACCGGGGACACCGCGCTGCTGGTGCCCGGCTTGGTGGTGGCGGAGGAGGTGGTGGGGCCGACGCCGTTAGAGGGGGATGCTGTGGACGGTGGGGAGAGGGACCAGCGGTCGATGATCCTGCGCTCGCGCACCAAGGCGCAGGAGGTGTTCTACACCAAGAGGCAGCGGGGCAAGCGGGCGGCTGACGTGCGGCTCAAGAACTGCAAAGTGCCCAAGAAGCTCATCGCCAACAACCACCTCCCGCCCGCCTTCAAGCTGGCGGCCCCGGGCAGCCCCCATAAGGAGGGCAAGGTGGGTGCCCGGATGAAGCTGCCCAAAGCGGGGCCGGGTGTCGGGGGCAAGTTGTCCGAGCGGCCCCTGCACTCGCTCAAGAGGAAATCCACCTTCATGTCGCCCATCCCTGCCAAGAAGAGGAACCTGGTCCTGCGGAGCAACAGCGGTGGCGTGAAGGAGGAGAAGGCGGAGGCCCCCCCCAGCCTCTTCAAGAAGATGCCGGTGGCCAAGAAGGTGAAAACCAAGCTGCCCCCCAAGGCCTCCGGCGAAGCCATCCCAAAGCCCCCTCCTCCAAAGGAGGCCCCTGATGTCTGCATCAAGATCACGTCACGGGCGGCCTTCCAGGAGGCCACCAAGACCAAAGTGCTGCCTCCCCGCAAGGGCCGTGGCCTCAAGCTGGAGGCCATCGTGCAGAAGATCACCTCTCCCAACCTGAAGAAGTTCTCCTGCAAACCGGTGGTGGCGGCGGCGGCCACAGCCTACGGCACCTCATTGAGCCCTATGGAGCGGGTGAAGCACCCCGGGGTAGCCGGTGACGCGCGGTTGCCCAAGCCGGTGTCGGCACAGAAGGCACCGGGTGTGCCGGGGGCAGAGCCGCTCTGCCGCAACCCCAACGGCCGAGCGCCCAAGGGGAAGCTGGGCGGTGGGAAGAAGCTCTCTGGTGATAACTGCCACGGCGAGGCGTGCGCGCCGGCACCCGCGGCTCAGCCCGGCTCCACCGTGGTGGCCAAGAGCCTGGGGCTGCTGCCCAAGAAGAGGAACCGCAAGGGCAAAGCGGCGGCGCTGGGCATGGCCAAGGCGCCCTTGGTGCCCGCGCTGTGCCCGCTGCGGGCGGGCGGCGGGGAGGAGGCACCGCGCGAGGGCAAGAAACCAAAGAGCGAGGAGAAGGAGATGGGTGAGGGCTCCCCCGAGGGCCGCGCCGCAGCGGGACCAGCGCGGGGCCCGAAGCCACGGGCCAACCACTCCAACTACAACGGCTACTCCAAGCGGCAACGCAAGCGCCTGGGGCACGGGAAAGCCAAGGCGGTGCCGGCGCGGTGCAAGAGCCGCGGCAAGCGGCGGCGGCAGCCCCAGCAAGCCCCGTTGGTGCATCCCGCCGAGCCCGAGATCCGGCTCAAGTACATCTCCTGCAAGCGGCTGCGTGCGGACAGCCGCGCTCCCCCCTTTGCTCCCTATGTCCGCGTGGAGCGGCGCGGTGAGTTCACCACCACCTGCACCGTCATCAACACCCCCGGCGAGGAGGCACGGCTGCAACGGGGACCGGCCGGGCCGGCGCCGCGGCCACGGGCAGCGCTGCCCGCCTCCTCCACCATGCACATGGGGCCGGTGGTGTCGAAGGCGCTGAGCGCTGCCTGCTTGGTGTGCTGCTTGTGCCGCAACCCCGCCAACTATAAGGACCTGGGGGACCTCTGCGGGCCCTACTACCCCGAGGACTGCCTGCCCAAGAAGAAGTCGCGGCTGAAGGAGAAGGCGCGCGTGGATGAGGATGCTCTGGCTGCCGAGCGGGCATCCCGAGGGATGGAGGGCGGCTGCGGTGCCGGCGCGAAGGCGGCGCGGCCGGAGGGTGGTGCCGAGGCGGGCAAGCAGAGCTCGCTGCGCTCCAGCCCGCGGGGCATGTTCCGTAGGCTGCAGAGCTGCTACTGCTGTGACGAGAGGACAGAGGGCGAGGAGGCGGCCGAAAAGCCCCGGCGGCACGAATGTCACAAGGCTGAGTCCCCGCCGCAGGAGCCGGTGGGGGACACGCAGGAGCATTGGCTGCACGAGGCTTGTGCCGTATGGACCGCTGGGGTTTTCCTGGTGGCGGGGAAGCTCTACGGGCTGCAGGAGGCTGTCAAGGCGGCTGCCGACCTGGTAAGAGCTCGGCTGCCTGCCCGGCGTGGTGCCGCACCGGCCGCCTTCCGCTGGAGCTGATCCCGCCAGGAGATGGGAGCACATAGGGTTGGCCCCAATGAGGTGGCTTGGGAAGGGGAAGTGGGTGTTCAGGCACCAGTCTGGATCTGTGCTGCTGCGTCTCTGATAGCACCTAAACACCCCCTTTTAGGCATGGCGATGTGCTTGTGGTGTTATGGTGTGGGAGGGTGACGGGACATCCCCAGCACCAGGAGGATGCTGAGCCTGGTGGGTCTCATGCTCGTGTGTTGCATGGGGTGGCTTGGAGGCAGCCTGGTGAAGGCCGGATGGGAGGGGAAGATGGGCCCGATGTGGCCCGATGCCGCAGTGATGGGCAGCAGGGGAAGGGGACAGGCACCCTGCAGAGCCTGGGGTCTCCAGCAAGCCCCCCAGTACCACGTTTGGGGCTGGCTGTATTCCCAGGCCTGTGTGTTCAGCCTGTACCCATGGCTGTCTGGAGGCTGCTGGGTGCAGCACCCACAGGGGATGGGGCAGGAGATGGGGGACACCTTGAACCGTGGCACATCCCCATGTCCATGCCCCATAGGGGATGGCTGAGGGCTCGGTGCCATCCAAAGGAGTGGTACTGCATGTAGAAACCTTGTGTGTGGTGGTGAATGGCCGAGTGAGAGGCACAGCATCACCCGTGGTGCGCCGGCACGGGAGGAAGGATGCTGCTGGGGCGGGATGCGCAGGGATGCTCCTGGGCTCTGACCATGGGCTCTCTTCTGTCTCTCCCCATCTCTTCCCTCCCTGCTCCGAATCCCCGGGTGCGTTTAAAGAAGTGCTCGAGCTGCCAGCAAGCGGGAGCCACCGTGGGCTGCTGCCAGAAGGGGTGTCCCCACACCTACCACTACGCGTGTGCCGTCGACACAGGTGAGCCCCATGCGGGGACAGGGGCATGGGGTCCCATGGCAATCTCTGCAGTGCTCAAGCCCAACCAGGGCCATAGGATCGGGGAGCGGTTTGGGTTGGAAGGGACCTTAAAGCTGATCCAAGTTCCAACCCCTGCCTAAGAGCTCATCTCAGTCTCCCCTCGGGCAGGTTAAAGGCATTCCCATTGTCCTGTCCCTACAGGCCCTTGTCCAAAGCCCCTCTCCAGGTGTCTATAGCCCCTTCAGGCACTGGAAGACTGTTCAGATGGGATTGCTGGGATGGTGTCCTGAGTTTGTCTGGCCTCAGCTGACCCCTTCATTCAGGGGACGTTGAGTCAATGTCCCCTTCATTCAAGCACCGTGGCTGGGGCACACAGTGGCGGGGAGGTCATGGGCTGGGGAGGACACTGTGTCCCCATCCCTTGGGGACATCCATGGTGCAGCACAGGGACCCCCTGACCCGACCTTCTCCTCTCCTCACAGGTTGCTTCTTAACTGAAGAGAGCTTCTCTCTGAAATGTCCCAAACACAAGGTAAGTCCAGAGCCCCCTCAATGCTCTGCAGCCACCCTGGGGTGGGAGCACCCCCCTTTGGACCACGGACCCACGGGGACACCATACTCAGTGTCAACCAATGGGGAACCGCGGTCCTGGGGTTACCAAGCCACTGGGGGACAGGCAATGGGGATGCCAGGGCCGGGACCCCCAACTATGCTCTAGGGGGGGGTTATCCCCCTTTGCTAAGCACTGACAAGGTGGGTGAGAGTGGACCCCATGGGTGGGAGCCCCATTCTTCTCAGGTGGGCAGGGTGGCCGCTGATGGGGACCAGACCCCCCCTCATACTCATCTATGGGGACCACCGGGCTGACACCCCCCTTCTCCCCGCAGAGGCAGCCGGTGTAGCGCCCCGCGGGCACCCGCCCCGGCCATCAGCGAGGGACCGGCGGAGGAGGCAGCGCCCGGGGAACGGGGCCGGGATGCACCGGGCTGTACCGGGATGCACCGGGCAGTACCGGGCTATACCGGGCCGTACCGGGCTGAACCGGGCTATACCAAGCAGTACCGGGATGCACCGGCCGTACCAGGCTGTACCGGGCCGTACCAGGCTATACCGGGCTGTACCGGGCTATACCGAGCAGTACCGGGATGCACCGGGCCGTACCGGGCTGTACCGGGCTATACCGAGCAGTACCGGGATGCACCGCGCAGTACCGGGCTGTACTGGGCTATACCGAGCAGTACCGGGATGCACCGGGCCGTACCGGTCTATACGGGGCTGTACCGGGCTGTACCGGGCAGTACCGGTCTATACGGGGCCGTACCGGGCATGCGCAGCGCTGCCGCCCCGTTCCCCCCCACAGCCCGTTCCGAGCGGGTAGAGCCAGCGCCGGGTTTTCCCCCTCGCCGGGCCCCGGCAAAACCCGGCCTGGCTGTCGGGGATCCGGAACGGGATCCCCCGGCCCGCGATCGCTGCACAGGGGGGAGGGATGGGGGGGGTACAAAGGGGGGGGGTCCCGGCGATGTTGTCTTACTGTGGGGCCGCCGGGCCCCGCTGTGGGTCCCGGCTCCCCATATCTCACACTGATCTGATCTGAGATGTTGCCTTCAGCAAACCTCACGGTGTCTGTCTGTATATACGTGCGGAGGAAAAGAGTCAAAAATAGACAAAAAAAGACAAAAAAAAGGACAAAAAACCCATAAAAAAGGACAAAAAAAACCTAGAGACAAACCAACGGCCTGCTGTTTGAAACACCACTCTGCTTTACCCGTTCCCTCCCTCCATCTCCTGTCTGCCCCCAACCATCCCTGGGTACCAGACCCTGTGTTGGGGTGATGGGCGCTTCGTGCAATTGGCCCATTGCACCCATCACCCTCCCGCGCCATGGGGCGCTGGCACTGATGGGATGGGGATACTGGTCCTGCTCTATGGGACCCCCCAAACCATCCTTCTCGCTCTGCTTTGGCGTCGACAGCATCTCCTCGTGGTGCTGGGCTTTGCTCCCTTTGCTTGTGCAGAACCCCAGGTGCTGGGTGCTGAACCCCAAGATTCTGGGTGTAAAACCCCGTGGCTTTGGGTGCAGACCCCAGGGTTTGAGCCTGATGCAAGGTACAAACAGCTTCCAGCTGGCAGGAGGGTTCTTATAGGAGGAGGAGGAGGAGGCTTTTGCTTCCTCCTTCTGCATAGCCCTTGCTCAGCAAACCCTGGCTCTGGGCTTGCTCAGCTCCCTTGGCTTTCACTTCCCTTCATAACGGAGCTGGGGGGCCTGCCCAGCACTGGGATCACCCCCTGCCCATGTCCCCCCCCACCATTCTGCACCACCCCAGTAGCAAATACCCAACCCAGGGTGAAGCAACCCCAAATGCCATCCTAAAACCAGAGCCACCGGTCCCCCTCCTTACCTGCAGAGCATCCTGCAATGGGGAGCACAGCGCTAGCCCCATCCATCCATCATCCATCCATCCATCTATCCATCCATCCATCCATCATCCATCCATCCATCTATCCATCCATCCATCCATCATCCATCCATCCATCCATCCATCCATCCATCCATCCATCCCCTCATCCTGACCCCTCAAGAGCCAGTGCCCCCATTGCTGCCACATCCCTTCCATTCCCACCCCAATCCCTCACCCTCAAGGTTTGCTGGCCACACAATGTCTGTTGTTTCAGCAGCTTTGCCTCGGACACGGGAGCGAAAGACACACAAAAAAGGGAAAAACACAAGGAAAAAGAGGAAGAAGAACCAAAAAGAAGGAATTTAAAGCAGAAAACCCAAGGAAGCTCCCGGTGTCCCTGGCAGCGTTGCCTGAAATCTGGCTATTTTTAGTGACATCTTGTACATATGACTGTAAAATGGTAAACCGTGTGTATTATATATTGCCTCATTATATAGTGTATATATATGTATACATATACATATATATAATATATATGAA